TTTTTCCGCTCAGGAATCTTTTGTCAATAGCCTCTAAAAAGTCTCTCAAGTGATCTAATAAATAATGTGACTTACTAGGCTATTTATAGTGTTTAGGAAGTCATACTTTCGTAACAATTAGGTTTCCCAAAATTTTTATCGTATCCAGAGTCGGTTTCACTACGTCAGCACGCGTTACGCGTTACAACCGGTCGACCGGTGACATAGACGTTATAACTCACCGGTCGACTTGTTCTTCACAAATCGGTCGACCTGTCTTTACTAACCAGTCGACCTGTCTGCATTGAGAATAGTTGTTTTCTTAATTCTTCAACACGGGAAACTTACACAGAGCCTCAGTTTTGATTCAAGCAACCCAATAGAGAAAATGCCTGATCAAAACAGTCATATAATAGTCTTCCCATATTAAACAACTCTTAAAACAATAATTCAACCAATTTATCTAGAATTAATTTAACAATTAATTCACCTGATAAATCACTTATGAATTAATTAACCAATCTCCCATTAAGTTTGAACCCCTTTTACGGAAATAACACAAGTTACCAATATGTAAGAAATTTTTTACGAGTTTCGTGTCGTGTTTAGGTTAAGCGGGTCCAACTCGAAATTGATCTGTATTTTTCGTGTTAATTTCAGGTCTACCCAATTTTGACCTGAACCTCTTTTTTCTTAACCCTAACCCGTAAAATTCGTGTCGTTTTTGAGTCGTGTTGTCGTGTCGTGATCCATATTGCCGGCCCTAGCATAGATGGTGTTTGCATTCCTAAACATCATAGAAGAGTTACTCACGGAGATCAAGCTTGACTCCAGGGATATAGCAATATAAGATGAGTTGGAGCAAGCGATTACCGAGTGTCGTACGAATAAGCGATCCAGTTTCGCCTCTTCGATCTGTCACTTTCATGGTAGTACTACTGGAGGAGCCTTCTGTTGGAAAAAACGGCATTGAGTGCGCAGTAAAATTTTAAAAAATTTAATCAACGTCAAAGCCAACCAAGAACATGTTCATGATGCTATATAACATAAATACTAAAGATCTAAATCATACCTTTGGGATTTAAGGAAACTACACGTCTGACTGATCAAAGCGTTCCAAACAGCGACCAGAAGAGTCTCAACCAACTGGTCTTCTTTGTTATTCTCGTTTCCACGATCAGAGTGCGGGTGGGCACACGTCGTTCAATCTCCCTTTGGTATTCTTGAATTCCTTCCAACCACAAGAGAGTCAAAGAAAAAATCGTTATTGAGAATTAAACAATTTTTCCTCTCAGGAATCTTTTGTCAATAGCCTCTAAAAAGTCTCTCAAGTGATCTAATGAATATTGTGACTCATTGGGCTATTTATAGTGTTTATGAAGTCATACTTTCGTAACAATTAGGTTTCTCAAAGTTTTTATCGTATCCAGAGTCAGTTTCACTACGTCAGCACGCGTTACATGTTACAACCGGTCGACCGGTGACAGAGACGTTATAACTCACTGGTCGACCTGTTCTTCACAAATCGGTCGACCGGATCGGTCGACCTGTCTTTACTAACCGTTCGACCTGTCTGCATTGACAATAGTTGTTTTCCTAATTCTTCAACACGGAAAACTTGCACAGAGCCTCAGTTTTGATTCAAGCAACCCAATAGATAAAATGCCTGATCAAAACAATCATATAATAGTCTTCCCATATTAAACAACTCTTAAAACAATAATTCAACTAATTTATGTATAATTAATTTAACAATTAATTCACCCGATAAATCACTCATGAATTAATTAACCAATCTCCCATTAACTTTGAACCCCTTTTACGGAAATAACACAAGTTACTAATATGTAGAAAATACACCGTATCGTTACAAGAAATTATGTGAGCTAGCAAAGGGACCCGATGGACATATATAAATCAAGCTCATATAATCACAACGCTACTTGTAAACCAACAAGTCCGTCTTATGATTATAAAACTCTAGCGCTACTCCACTAAAAGCCTAGAGCTGCACTCTCGATTTATATAGCGTATTTACAAAGTTCTGAGTAGCTCTCATCTATGACTCAATATATTAATGTATCATCCCCATAGGATATCCATAATCGATTTGAGGTCAAGTTCTGTTTTACCTTTCCGATTACATTTATCTTATGTTTCATTATCACACCATCAGAAAACCACTATTCGTACCATCACAAACAGTAAACCATTAGATAACACAAAGTAGTCTAATGGCCGAGCGCTCGTATTTTTCAATCCATTAATAATGCATAAAAGGATATCATTGACTCTTTATAGGAGTTATGGATTCCACTATCTATGAATAACAAATCTACGCATACACGAGTCATACCCCCAATATACTAGTAAGTGTACCTTTACATAATGTCATGATGTCTGCCTTTAGTACATCAAATGATACAAGTCAAGCATACGGGTTCATTATCCATCTCAAGATTAAATGACAACATAAAATTCGTCAAAAATGAATTGTTTTATTCAAACAGAATTATTAATTAAAACAATTCAACTTTGGTCCGATCCAATATAGATTTCACCATTAGAAACTATATCAATGTCTCTACCCATGGAGTCCCACCTCTAACGACCAAGACAAGCCGTCTCCGTTAGAAAGTAGACAACATAACAATCTTAACATGAATAAAGTGCACAACTTTATTCCCTCGATTGTGGATCATATGATTTAGACTATCATCTTTAGATTGATGTTTTCCGCATGTTCTTCACATTACATGCATGACCTAAAGATTTAGAATGAGAGACTCAGACTTTTAGTTTGTTTATCATACATTCAACTAATATGAACATAAAGAGGATAATACATAGATATATGAAATAAATAAATCTTTATTAATAGTCAAAATGTCTCAAAGAACATCGTTACATTTATTCTTAAGGGCATAAACGCTAACACCTTCATCCCCGGAGAAGGAGCTAAGTGCAAGTGCCAAGTGGAGGCCTTGGTGGCACTTTGGATTAGCAAGTTCATACTTCCAGAGCTTTTGGAGGACATTGTACAAACCTGCTATTTCCCTTTGGGGATTCGTATTGCAAAAGGTGTTGTTTTTCCTTTGGCCTCACTCATCTTGGGCCACTTATACACGCAAATGGAGAGTCTTCACAGGCTGGAGTACTAAGGAGCGGGAGGATATATTTTGGAGACTTATGCTCCGACTAGCTTTCTCCAGGCTTTCTTCTGGGAGCGGTTTCCTGCTTACGTTCCAAAGCCCTTTTCATGCGAAGAGATCGAATCCACTGTGGGAAACTTTCCTTTTCTGGGCATGACAATTCCGGCAATTGCAGGTGGTTTCGGAAGGAGCCCATAGCTAGTGCTTTGCTAACATTCTTAGACGATGAGTCCCAATTCAGTTTCCGCCCATACAATTCTTTACCAGCGAAGTTCGGAGCAAATCGATTCTATATTAATAGAGCTTCTGACTCTATACTAATAGAGCTTCTGACGAGTTCACACCCTTGGTCCCTGCTATCGGAGGGGGACTAGATGACTTTGAGTTGCAGAGTTGGTACGACTTTTACTTGGCCATTACCCCATCATGGCTCTTGTCATACAAGGGAGATGGTGTAAAATCGTTACCGGTTCAGGCGCCAGTTCGGGCTTGATCAGGGAGTGCCCTTTGCTCCGGAGAAGCCCAAACGGAATGAAGTGTCATTCCTCGAGCCCTATGCAGAGAAGAGATTAGGCCATTCGGAGCATTTCATGATTCCTTTGAGAGATTGTGTGGCCCTCCCGACAACTCAGTTTGTAGAATACTGGCAAGGTCAGTTGGCATGGATTGCTGCTTATTGTTGCGCACCTCATCACGTACAAAACCTAATCATCCAAAACGAATGCTTCAGACGCTCCTAAATAGCAAGAAAATAGATGAAATTGCATGCTGTGATATCTAAATAGCCGAGGTCTGAAATCCAAAGGAGATGAAGATGGTGCCTTCATCGTCGCCAATGTGCAAAACAGAATTGGAGTCGATGACTTTTTCGGCGGTTATGTGGCTGAGGAACCACTTGTGGGGGTTCAATTTAAGCTCTTCTGTGTTTTTTTTTTTTTTTTTTTTTGTTGAGTGACTACAACTCTTCTTTTTAGTTTTTTAAAAAATAAATTATTTTAGGGGTTAAGGAAAGATCAAATGGTTGCAGGAGCACAATATGAATAATGAGCCTTCATCCTATACCAATAAATCTTGAAGTCAAATGGTGTTTTACTTGCTCCACCGATGGAGCTAAAAAGGAGGTCGCACCATAAAGAGCGCTAATAAATAAAATTTCGTGGAACAAAATGAGACCCTTTGTCTCCATTCTATTTTAATTTAGATTAACCGCCTGTGGATGGTTTTAACAACTTCATTGTCATTTTCATATTACAAAAAGATATATTTGCCTTTTCTTTTATACCAACAAAGAATTAGAAAGTGAATTAAGAACATGCATTGCGCCCTCTTTTTTCTTAAAAAATGGTATAAAATTCTCGCACATAAATAATAATTCGAATATTAACACCTTTCATAAGTGGTGCCTTCCTATTTTCTTATTTCCCAGATGGACCCATTACACAAAAGTTGACTAGACTTTCCTTCCTTGTTCCGCTCCCCAAACAAGAAAGGGCACAAATCAAAACAGAAGAAAAAACATGGAGAGAGAGAGAGATAGGTGGGGAAAAAGATGACGCGTTCTTAAAAAAAAAAAAAAAAAAAAAAAAAAAAAAAAAAAAAAGGGGGAAAACCAAAAAAAGGGGTTAAAAAAAAAAAAAAAAAAAAAAAAAAAAAAAAAAAAGAAGGTGTCAAACCACAAAACGCGGTTAAAATAAAATAAAAAATAAAAAAACTTTATTAGTTTAAGACGTTCATGCATTCGCACTAGCATGACACACCAAACCCAGCTGCGACGTTGAATTATAATTTTATACATGAATATACAATTGTTGTACCAATAAATAAATCCATGTCCTATGTCAACATAATATAAACAAATGAACTTTAGATCCATCCAAAACTGCCTAAACAGATCTCATTTGCAATACCCAGATCCAAAATTTTCTCAAAAACATATCTTGTGTCTTTTTGGTTCCGAAGTCTTGTAGTCAGACTTTATAGGCTTTGATGAAAATATTTTTTTGCTGTGTTCTTCCATGAAGCTTCTGAGAGTAAACATTCCTTGAGTTTCTGGATTTGGGAGTTGAGTGATAATACTACTAGTTAGTTGGGATTTGTTAAGTTTATCGAAATGGAAAGTTCGAGGACAACAAGAGTTGACAAGAGAGCTTATGAAAATGATGTTATTGATGATGGTGGAGATGATCATTTACCCGAATCAAAGAAGCGCAAATTGCCTTCTCTTGCAAGGTTTATCTCGTAATTTCAAGTCTTGTCACTTGCTTTGTTCATTTCCATTAAAGGGTACTCTTTGGTTTTATAACTATTTCTGTTTTTTTTCCTCGGTTGTTTGGCCAAAAATCCAATCACTATAACGTTATTGGACGGTTACTGAATTTAATTTAATTGTATGAGATTATCAATCGAGTGTAGAGGAAAAAACTGATATCTTCCCTTGCTAGATTATTGAATTTGGTTATGATATGGGTGCTTAGTTTTCTTTTTTTGGAAGTCTTAGAATGTGGAATAAGCCAATGCCCAATGCCAAAATGCAATTTTTCCTGATTTGGGGCTAATGTGTATGAGGTGAAAACTGGACTGAATGCTACATTTGTAAACTAACACACACACACAAAAAAAAAAAAAAAAAAAAAAAAAAAAAAAAAAAAAAAATCAAAAAATCAAAAAATCAAAAACAAAAACAAAGATGTAGCTATTGTTAACATCATAACTATATATAAATTTAGTGATTAAGAACTAACCTCGTCAAACTTTTGCTTTATCCATTCAAGCCGCTGGTGTAAATTTTGGAGTCCACATCATTGTTTATAGAGTTCATTCCATATGCAGTGTAATTGTGGATGCTTTAAAGGTGGATAGCTTGCAAAGACTCTGCTCTTCTTTGGAGCCTCTACTCCGCAGAATTGTGAGTCACGTATTCGTTCTTTACAAAACTTTTAAAATACATGCCATTAGTCTCTCCTATGAATTTTAATATTTTTGGTGAATTGAAAATGGCATTTTCTTTTTCTTGTATATATATATATATATATATATATATATATACATGTGTGTGTGTGTGTTGAGCAGTAGCATTATTCTATATTGTAGTTTCCTTTTCCTCGTTCCTAAACAAATTAGACCATAATGTCAGATTCTCAATTTTCTATGAGGCCTTTTAATGCCCTGAATCATGTAATAAAATTAGTGGACCTTATTTCTTCTGTTTCTTGTGCAAACAACAGGTCAGTGAAGAAGTGGAGCGTGCTTTGACGAAGTTGGGCAATGCTAAACTGCCTGGGAGGTGTGTTCCTCAATATATATATATGGGCATCTGTTAGTAGTTTTAGCAATTTTTACATTTTCATAATATTTTGAAAAGTGGTGTAAGAGGATATAGAAAGTGAGACTTGTTCAGAGTTTTGTATCATGGATAATGACAAATACCTCCCCTATGTTTTATCGGAATTCTGCAGTCCACCCTATGTTTTTAGGAATGTTGCACACTTCTTTATGTTTTATATATGTGTTTAAAACTGCCCCCTATATTTGACAAATAGTTTTAGAGTCGTTTTTTATTTTTAACGTGACTTGTAAAACGCGGAGGATAGATGCAGCATTGTAAGGTGGAATGCAACATTTCACTTTTAACACGCGGGAGGTTCTTGTTCTTATTACTTGGCATTATGCCACAAGTAGAAGGTGCATACTAAAAAGGAATGACACTAAAATGGAAAAATAACTCTTGGATATTTCTTCCGAGCAAGTGCACAGACATATGTGGAGCATTTGCATAGCTTGAAGATTTTTCTAATGGTTAGCAAGATATATTTGTAATTCAATTGTTTCACTTTCAACCATGGTAGAACTCCACCACCGAGAATTCTTGGTCCCGAAGGAAAGGTGTTGCAGCTCCATTTCAAAACCAGGATGCCACCTCACATATTTACCGGTGCAAAGGTTGAGGGAGAGCAAGGAGCAGCGATTCATGTCGTCTTGCTAGATGCAAACACGGGTTGTGTTGTGCAGACAGGACCAGAATCAGCTGCAAAGCTCAATATTGTGGTGCTTGAAGGCGATTTCAACGAGGAGACTGAGGAGGATTGGACAATGGAGCACTTTGAAAACCATGAAGTGAAGGAACGGGAGGGGAAAAGGCCGCTTCTCACAGGGGATCTACTGGTGACCCTCAAGGAAGGAGTAGGTACCATTGGAGACCTTACTTTCACTGACAACTCCAGTTGGATCCGGAGCAGGAAATTCAGGCTTGGTCTTAAGGTTGCCCCTGGATACTGCGAGGGGATTCGAATTCGCGAGGCCAAAACTGAGGCTTTTGCTGTGAAAGATCATAGAGGAGAATGTAAGTTTCTCCATCACTATTCACTTAATTTAAGATGTAAAATTGTCCCTTCAGTTGCTTTTCTATATCCATGTCACTATGAGCTTTCCAATCTATTGTTTTCATGATTTTCAGTGTACAAGAAACATTACCCGCCTGCTTTGCATGATGAAGTTTGGAGACTAGACAGAATAGCAAAGGATGGAGCACTGCACAAAAAACTTATTAAGTCCAACATCACAACTGTTGAAGACTTCCTTAGACTTCTTGTGAAGGATCCGCAGAGATTAAGAAGTGTAAGGATCGTGGTTTCCTATAATCTTTGTCTTTAGATTCATTATCATGCACCTTTCTGATATCATTTTGCTAACTTTCTTTGTTGTTGATTATCAATCCAGATCCTTGGAAGTGGAATGTCCAACAGAATGTGGGAGAGCACTGTGGAGCATGCCAAGACATGTGTCTTGGATGGGAAGCTCTATGTTTACTATACTGATAAAACTCATTGCACTGGAGTTGTTTTCAATCATATTTATGAGCTCAGGGGTCTAATTTCTGATGGGCAGTTTCTCTCTCTAGATTCTCTCAACCACAGACAAAAGGTTCGGTTTCCAAACTCCCGAAAGTCCTTAACACGCTTAGTTTATTCATTTTGCAAGTATCACTTTTTTCCTCAACTTCTACCTGCAAGAAGACATAAATTCAAAGAGTTTCAAAAGAGAAACTTCAGAATCAACTTATGGAGATGACAGACTTCCTATTTCTCAAACTTTAGTCTTGCTTCATGGAATCAAAACGATTTACAATGGCTAAAAAGCATGAAATAGAGTATTCCAAGGTCTGACATGGCTATAATAAAGCACTTCAATACTGAAGATTTTAGTCATCAACACTTTCATCTTTTTCTTTTTTTTTTTATGCTGATTTAACCGCATGCCCTTATAATCAGAGTAATATTAATTCAATAGTCTCATTTGAATAAAAAGACTGATCCTCAATTCCCTGCATTTCATCAGTATCTTCTCTGAGTGAATCATAACTTTTTTAAAGTCCACTCATTCACTTTGATCCCTGCACAGGTTTCAGTGGATGCTCTCGTGAAGAGGGCATATGAAAATTGGCATGAAATTGTAGAATATGATGGCAAAGTTCTAAATTCTCAAACCGGAACCAGAAAAGGGAAGGCAGCCTCAGCTGCACCAGTAGTCACTAGCCACAACTACACCACAGGCCACCTTTGTGAAACCACTCAGACCAGGCAGCAACAGTTAATCTCTGAATGCAGCCGCCAATTCCAAACTGAAAATAACCAACCACCAGCCGTTACACAGTTGATAGAGTTCCCATTCGCAAGGTCTGATCAGGCAGCGCTGATGACATTAAATAACCAACAAACGGCATTGTCTCGCAGCATGGATTACATGACAGCTGGAGCAGCGTCACCTGGGTGTTACTTTCCAGCAGATTGGTTGCGGCCAAGGAGCGGGCAGGGTTTGGAGGACATAGTGACTGAGGAAATCCGGCTGAGGAGCTCAGAGATGTTGGAGAGTGATGACATGCAGAGACTATTGAAGACATTTGGTATGGGGGTTGGTGTTGGAATGGGGTCTGGACTTGGTCATTCTGACGAGGATTGTTATGGTTACAGCGTGCAATATGAACCTCAGATGGATCAGCCCTTTGGCCAGGAGAGAGGCAAGAGTTCAGGGAGGGCTGTTGTTGGGTGGCTTAAGCTCAAAGCCGCTTTGAGGTGGGGAATATTTGTTAGGAGGAGAGCTGCAGAGAGAAGAGCACAGCTGACTGAGCTTGATTGAGTTAAAGAGGCTTGGAAAGATCACAGCGTCTCACTATAATAACATGTGTCTGTTGACTCTATTCTTGTTGATGCTCTTTGTGGTTGTAGAGAGGACACGAGCAAAAAAGAGGTTGGAAACTTGAAAATAGTTCGTTTTCTGATTCAAGAAGAAGGGGTTGAAACATGATCTTAAATCAACATTCACAAAGTTGTTATTTAAAAAAAAAAAAAAAGAATGATCTTGTAAATCAGATCGTTGGTTCTTTATTTACCTTCCTTGATTAGTAACACGTTCCCCCCGCCCTGTAATGGATTTTCATTGGATGTATCCTTTTTTCCCCGTCAGAACTTTGAGCTTCTTCTTCTTTTCTAAAATATATTTGGTACATCAAAAGAATAATGAAAGATAGCAGAAGCGCATTTTTCTTGCAAAGGAGATTAGTGCTTGAGGTTCTTGTGATGTGTTTTTAAGTACAATCTACTGTTCAACGATTCGCACAGGATGTAAATGCAAGGAATTTTACATCCTGCAAAATAAAACTGGTCGCATGTAAAAATTTTTTTTTTTTTTTTTTTCTTGGGGTTTCCAACTAGAAGACCTTCAAATGCTGCTGATCTGAGTATGATCAAGGTTTCTCCAAAGAAGCTCGGTTTTATAAGAAACAATGCTAATAAAAACTACTTATTTTCAACCAGTAAATGCATCTTCTACATGGAAAGACGGATGACAAGGAAATTAATATATATATATATATATATATATATATTCCTTGCCAGAAAATTGAAACTTAAAAATATTTTAGGCTGTGAATGGAAGTAAAGAAATCTGTAGTCTTAAAGAATCAAAAGTTCCTTTCTAGCCTAAAGTAACATTCCAGGACACCTAGTTCATGTCGAAGATGTTGCATACAAATTAATTAGACGACAAGCGCAAAGTGTGCAAAAGGTGAAAAGTTATCCCAACCAAGAACAAAAGAAAAGGAGATGACATTAGAAGAACCAACTAGCATCCATGTTTGCTGTTTTCCAAATGCAACGAGAAAAATAAATTTACTAAAATATAAAACTAGTTGGAAGTGGAGGAAGTATTACAAGACAGATGGACAAAGAAATTACATAACACACAAGCATCAATACTCATGCAGTAAAGTCTTGCATCCAAGAGCCGAGAGAGCAAGTGTCCAATCCAAATTCTCCATCCATTAATGTTGTCTCATTTTGTCCCTGGATAACACAAGGTAAAGCAGTTACAATGTAGACACAATGGACGCACTGAAGATAACAATATCCAACTAAAAAGAACTTAAAATATTTTTGTAGAAGATAAGACATCAAATTGTGATTACAAGCATAGTCTAGCGGGTAGATCCAGACCTAACCCCACCTTGAGGTTTTGAATTCAAATACCCCCACACCCAAGTTCAAAATGAAAAAAAAAAAAAAAAGGGATAAGACATGAAAATTAAGAAACTCTGCTTGCTGAAGATGTCTTAAGCATCGCGGCCTTCACTTTTAATAGATAACTACGTACTCAAGCATATTAATTAATAGGTTAGCAAGCAATTATCTATAGTACTGAACAACATAGATAATCATAAGTTGATCATGAATATTATCTTCTGTATAAACTCAGTCATTGCCAAGTATTAAAAAATACCTAAGAGAACATTTCTGATAAAAGAATTGACAGTCAAATGCTTACTTAGAACAAAGTAAAAGTCACTACATATTCCTAAAAAACTCAGAGCAAGCAGGATATGGATCGTACCTGTTTCATCATAGCACTAAAACTCAGAGCAAGCAGGATATGGATCGTACCTGTTTCATCATAGCACAAATTATATCATCTATTAACCCATAGCTGTCTTGTAAAGCATCTGGTGCCTTTGCTTGCTCGAAGAGGTAGTTGCCGCTGGGCTCAGTCTTGGTGTCTGCAGCAGATTCCCCAATCTCACTTGGTTGAAAGACAGATAAAGTGCCCCCGTTTAATTCGTCAAGTATAGATGCATTGAAACTTTGGCTGCAACCTGCATTATTTTGGTCCAGACTCTGGTTTAAGGAATTTATTGCATTAGCAGAAACGAAGGAATTTATCGCATTAGAATTCTGATTCAAGCCCTGGTTATCCTTTCCATGTTCTTCCCACCTCTGCCTTGCTGTGAAATTTGCAGTATGAACAATATTTCCAATAAAGCCATCTTGGCCTTCTATATCTCCCCTAGAATCCCCTAGAGGAGTTGGAAGTGAACTAGCAGAAGAAAAATTATGAGGATTCTTACCAATCTGTGAGGTGGTAGACGAAATAACCAAGTTATTACAACGCATTTGGCCTTGATTCGAAGGCCCACTCATAGGAAAAGCAGTTGATGGAAACTTTGATGCCTGAACTGCACCTTGCCAGCTTTCGTTACAATGGTTATGATCTAGAAAGTTAGAGGAATCATTGATCTCAAGGTCAAAAGCTTTGGGATCCGATGCAGCCACTCTGACTGAAGATTGATTTCCTAAAGCTCCCCCACTATGTGTCTGCTGTGCGATCCCTGGTAACATCAAAGTGTTGCTTGAATAATTGGGCGCCGTGCTTGAGCTAGCAACAGCCGCTCTTGCATCTTGCAAGCCAGAAGAAACTGTGAAACCTGTTGGATTATTTAAGGCACTGATGTCTACCAAATGGTTAGGGCACTTTGTCTGTTGCAACTGGTTAACATCCAATGATACAGGAATGC